GGGGGGAGTAGAAGAGGGCAGAGGAGATAAATGGTGATGGGAGTAATTTCATTAAATTTTAAAAATTAAATAAAATTTTTTTTAAACAAGAGAAAATCACCATATTCCTTCTAATTACTGTACTTTCCCGAAAGGCCGACCATACAAGATTCCTTCAGCACTGATGTGTCCTGAACTTCAGACCCTTATAGCCAACTTTCTATGAGACATTTCTACCTGAATATCCCATAGGAATATCAAACTCCAAAATATCTTAATTCCCCTCTCCCCCAGATCTATTGCTCCTCCTCTATTGTATATCCTAGGTTTAATAGCACCATCATCCACTCTTGCCCAAACCAGAGACCTGGGAGTAATTCTATACTCCTTCTTCTCCCTCACCTCCCATATTCACTCAGTCACTAAGAAGATATTTAAAATTCATGTAGTTGGTAAATTATTATATTGAGAATGTATTTTAAAAGCCCTATGAATAAAAAAGGAAAAGATAGACAATTGAAAACTGAAAAATAGATATGAACAGGAATTTCACTTTTTAACTTATGAAAAGATGTCCAATCTCTAATAAGGGACATGTCTATTCAAATCATTATGGGATACAATTTCACATCACCAGACAGGCAAAATTTTTTAGGTTGAATAATACCAAGTGTTAGAAAGGACTCAAAGCAATGAGGAATGCCCCTCCACTGTTGGTGAAAGAGAAAATAGCTATGACTACTTTGCAAAACAGTTTGGTATTACCTTATAAAATTTAACATGTGCACACTCTATGTCCTAGTAATTCTACTACTATGTAGTACCATAGACAAATTCTTGCACAGGACATATATGAGAAAATGCAGCTAACAGCAAAACTCTTGACACAAGCCAAATGCCCATAAATAGAATGAATAAGTAAATTTGAGTGTTTTAATTCAGTGGAATATTATACAGCAGCAGAAATAAATAAAGTACAACTGTACATGACATGGATGAATCTCAAAAATGATCTTGTACAAAAAAACATATCACAGAAAAGTACATGCAGTATGACTCCATTTACTATACAGTTTTAAAACAGGCAAACAATGTATTGTGGAGTTAAGACATATATGATGAAAACAAACAAAAAATGAAGGAATGATTTCCGTAAAATTCAGGATGGCGATTACTTCAGGAGGTGAGAAGGGAATGCAGTCAGGGAGGGGCACATAGGGGGCTTCTGGACTATGATAAAGTTCTATTTTTGACCTAGGTAGTGGGTATATAACAATTTGTTCTTTAATCTGTACCTACACATTTTAACTTTTAAACACATGCTCTATTGTACACTGAAAAGGCGAAACAAAGAAACAAAAAATTCTTGAATATTACCAACTGTGAGGTGTCTTCATGAATATTAAGCAACTTCACAGAGCAAAATGGAGGATTAGCTGATAGTGGAGGTGTAATGTATAATATGGTGACTACAGTTCAATAATGCTGTATTTAATATTTTAAAGTTTCTACAAGAATAGATCTTAAAAATTCTCATCACGCCCTGGCTGGGCAGCTCAGTTAATTGGAGTGTCATCCCATACACTAAAAGGCTGCAGGTTCAGTTCCCGGTTAGGATACATACCCAAGTTACAGGTTCAAGCTCCAGTCGGGGTGCATATGGGAGGCAACCAATGAATGTTTCACATAGATGTTTCTTTCTCTTTCTCCCCCCCCCATGCTTCCTCCCTCCCTCCCTTCCTCTCTCTCTCTAAAAAAATCTATAAAAACACATCCTTGGGTGAGGATTAAAAAAAAGATGTTCTCATCACAAGGAAAAAAAACTTGTAACTATGCATGGTGACAGAGGTTAATGACTTATTGTGGTAATCGTTTCACAATATATACAAATATTGAATCATTATGTTGTACACCTAAAACTAATACAATGTTATATATCAATTATATCTCAATGGGGAAAACTAGGGGGGAAATCTAATGCAATATCAGAAAAAAAGAAAAAGGAGAGAGAATGCAATCACATTCTGGTATACGAAAAATGAACACAGAATATGACCATTACTGTGGGTGCCTTAACTGTATCACAGCAAAGCTGTTAAGTGACAGAATTTCTCCTTCCTGCCCTCTCATTTTCTTTTTCTTGTTAACCCACTAAGAAAAAAAGAATGATTTTGAGTAATACCAAGTGTTAGAAAGGACTCAGAGCAATGAAGAATGCCCCTCCACTGCTGGTGAAAGAGAAAATAGCTCTACCTCAAGATTGAAGTGTCTTATTGACACTTTTATACATGTAGGGTAACATTTGATTCCACAGAGATGCCACCTGCTCTAAGAACATTGGCCTACAAAGAATGGAAAGGGGGAAATGACTGTATTTTTGTCTACTAACGTTGTCAGGCCACACTTAGTTAATTCACTGCTCCATATCTAAAACTTAATAACTGACTAACACTGTTCTCCCTCTGTTCAAGGGCTGGCTGAGAACCTCAATAGAGCAGTAAGAATATGACAAGCAGTGCTCTGGTTATTCTGAATAACTCATTAAAACCTGCTTGGGCCTCTGTGATCTCATTTATGAAAGAGAAATGGTCATCTTCCAGAAATCTTGCTAAGATAAAAAACTGTCAAGAGTTAATTATTTTAAAAGTTATTAATTTAAAAAGTATTTCTATGTCATAGGATTATAAGTGACTTTATTTTTGCTTCTTTATTTTCTAAATTTTCCTGCAAAGAACATTTTTGCTGTTTTTAATCAGAAGGAAAAAATTTAAGCAAATGGAAACCAATTTTCAAAGATAGTTAAGTTATGTTAATCTTAAAGGGCTAGGATTTATGTTCTCAGTGACCTTCACTAAATTATTCATCTCTGAGAAAGATTTGAACTGAAAACAGAGTCATGTACATAACAGAACTTCTCCATGCTACACTGAAAATTAGTGGCTTGTGTTAAAAATCATTAAACTATTACTGGATATATTTCAGATCACCAGATAATACTGTTTGTCATTATTAGTCTCCCTGCTTACCCTCTTGCCTGCTACCATTTATTCTATACACAAAAGACAAGAAAATACTTCTAAAAATGAGATTATGGCTCTTCCCTGGTCTCATCCTTCCAGCAGCATACCATTACACTGTAAATGAAATCCAAAATCCTGCCTCATAGTCTGTAAACTTCTACATCACTCTCCCACCTCATTCCTACAACTCTCCCCCTCCACCTCTCTACTCCAGCCAGACTGGCCTCCTATTGCTTCTCCGACACAGCAAACATATACCCATCATTTCCATAGTTCACTCCACTTTATTCAAGTCTCTGCTCAATATTACCTTCTCAGAGAAGGCTTTCCTCACCAATATATTGAAAATAGCATCATTTCTATTACTCTCAATTTCTTTACCCTCCTTTAATATTATTTATAGCCTTTATCAATATCTATAAATATATATTATATATTTACTTCTTGATCTATGTATTTTCTATCCCCACAAAGTTCTATGAGAGCAGGGACTACACCTGTCTTATTTACCACTGTATCCTTGGTACCTACAAGAGTACTGGGAACACAGTAATGCTTACTAAATACGTGTTGACTGAATGAATAAGTGAGTTACTGACATTTGCCATAATTAGAATCCTTTGCAAACTGGTGTTCCCTCCAAGGCCAGACTTCAGATAGTTCTTTTTACCTTAGGAGAAAGTAAACCTTGAAATAAAGAGAAGTTTACTAGTTTTG